TTCTTCTCATCCACGGCTGATGTCACATTCACTGTCTGGATGAAGAAACGTGAAGCCTCTATTTCATCCTGAGTCTTGTTTATGTCCCACTCAAAACTGGGACGAGCTCTGAACAGTACATTTAAGTTATTTAAGAAGTCAGTTTTACTGCTTATATTTATCAAACCCCTTTTGTCAAGTTCTGTGTATACTCTCAGCCATGACTCTGTGAGGTTCTTATCTACATAGGAAATGTTCTCTAAATTCTGTACACAGCTCTCAATACCAAGGCGCACCGACTCGTTCCAATAATCTACACTCTCACTAATGGCAACCATGACCCTGGGTCCATATGTGGAGAAGTATTTGTCATCATCATCATAGTATGGAATAACATAGGAGGCATCATTTGCCAGATTTCGGAGATCGATGCCTTCCCTGACCTGAGTACACCCATAAATGCTGCCGGCCAAATATGCTCCGTAGAGCAACACCATGAGCACCTTGCTCCATTTATTTGTAACAAAAGGGCCATAATACTTCTTAAAGAATACGTTCATTGGATGGTCACCTTCTGGCTCAGATGGCTGCCTAGAAGAGCTGCCGATACAGCAAGCATTGTACAAGCGGGAGTTCTCAGCCTGATCTTTACCTACATCCACACTCATACAAGTCAGCCAGTGCCGGTTCCCTTGCTCCCTTTTGTGATTTAATACCAGAACTGCCCCAAAGAAGGTCAAGGTATATACATAGCAGAAGATAAAAGCTGTCCCTGTATAGAGGCAGAAAGACCTCACGGACAGAAAAGCAGTCCAGGTGCCAATGAAGAAGGCCAAAACATCCGTCAGAGTGGTGATGGTCACAGAAAGTGCTGCCTCTGAATAAGTCTCAGCCAGCAGAGATTTAACATTGGATTTCTCTTTTTTCCTTAAACTTTGTTCCCAGGAAGCAATCATGATGAACATGTCATCAACGCCAACCCCTGCAAGAGGAGAGACTGTTAACGCTGCACTGCAAGTGGCAGCTTCCACCAACACCCAACCAAACTACAACATTAATCGCATTTCATTCTGCATAAAATCTGGAAAAGGAAGTTGGGTGACTAACACTGCTTGAGCACTGATGCAAGTTACAAGAGAATCTGGAAAACAGATCCTTTGTGTGTGGCTGAATGTATTACCTTTCAGCACCTCCTGGTGACCTGATGGGCTGTTGATCCCTCAGCAACTCTGCTGAAGGAATGAGCACACCTACTGCATCTCTGACAAGTGTCTTGTTGCTGATGTCCATGATGCAGATGACACAGATTTCAAAGCATCACATATTCTGATGTTCAACTGTTCTTACCACTGCAAGCATCCCCCATTATCTCTGGAATCTCTTCTTCAGCACTGCAGCAACTTAGAGCAATAATGTCTTGTTCTGCCCTCAGAAGACAGGAAGAGCAGCTGCTACCACATGGGAGAAGAGTGATTCCAGTTTTCCAGTGGCTTAGCTTTTTTTATGCTCTTTGCCCTCCACTTCTCTCCAGTTTATTTTCCAGCACTTATTCATGATTTATTACTCATTTTGGTTCACCTCTATACTGATGTGCTCACAAATATTACCTGACAGGCCCCTAGGAAAACCTGCCAGGAAGACTGGATCCTGGGTTTGGGTGTTTGCTAAAATGCAAATGAGCTGAAGTTCAAAAATGAAGAGCCAATGGGCTTCTCTCACCTCTGCTAACTCTCAAGATTATTATCTCACACCTTGCAGTATTTTGCCATGTTGTCAAGGGCTCTTCTATTCACTGAAAATTAATCACACAGAAGGGAAAGCAAGGCTGGGTGAATAGCGGAGTGAGATTTAGCTGAACACAGAAGAGATGAAATCATTACCTGCTACCTGAACAGGCAATTGCCAGTAAACATGCAAAGATTAATTAAGCAGCACATCAAAAGGTACTACTGGGTGGCAGGGAGCCAGGCTGCTTCGGAAAGCAAGCAGCTGTCAAAGCAAATCCTCTGATGTACTGAGAATTTGTTTGCTTTAATGCAAGAAAGACAAAAGTCTGTGTTTTATATCTGAAGAGACTGACTTAAGCCCTTTCCCAGGTATACAAAAGGGGCTTTTTGATAATCAGAGCCACTCCAATTGATGAGCAAGCAAAAGTAGATGAAAAAATGCATTAGAATTATGCAGGAAATAAAGAAACAATGCCCGCTCAAAGGAGCATTTGCATGGGACATCTTCGGATGATGCACAGCCTCTGTCAGCCTGGGAACTCCGTGTGTTTTCCTCAGCATGAGACCAAGCCCAAGAAAAGATCAGATGAATGTATGGTACAGGAGACCAGTAAGGATTTTAAAAGCAGTAATTTGTTTTCAGCGACATTATGTAGTTGGAAACAATATCTAATGGCAGCAACACTATCAGTACTTGGAAAGTTCAGCACTGGCTGTTAAGCAGTCTGTGTAACAAGCATGCAATGATACCATCTTCCTTGGGTTTTTGGGGGAGCTGCTTGCACAAATGGTGCATCACTTCAGTTGTGCAGCTGACTGAGACTGGTTTGTACATAGATGTTATACTGCAGAGGATCAATCATCCTGGCTACGCTTCCAGGGACACTAAAGCAATGCCAGAAGTGCTAAGCTTACCACTCTCCCACTTACAGTCTTCTTGCTGTAGCAGGGGATCTGGATCAGGCTTTGTCTTCTGGGGAAAGCTGCCCTTGCAGCACCAGAACCCATCTCCAGTCCCACTGTGGCACACGGAGCTGAGCTGAGGGGCTTGCCCTCCTCCGTAGGTGCTCTGAGGGGACTTGGGTATCTCCTACATTCACTTCAGGAGAAAATGTTGTATTATCTGACATTCACATCATAAAAGACTGACACCATTAGGCTGTTTTACCTTCACTCTGGTCTTTGTATCTGAATACACTCACTTTTTCTACTTACCCAGAATGAGGAATGGTGCATTTGCTACAGTGACCACAAACGGCACTCCACAGAAGAGCAGCAATCCAAAGCTGCTCAATACAGCTAAGCCAGAAGAAAGCACTCCACAGCTTGCAAGCCAGGTATTATTTCTTATACAGCTCAGTCTGAAAATATTAAGGAAAATCTTAGTTATGTGCCAAATATTTCACCAAGGTGTTTGGCATGAAAAGTACTCACATACCAGTGATACCCTCTCTCAGAATAACTCCTGATGAAAGCTGCTAGGAGAGTTCCTAGGTGTCAGGATTACACAAAATGATTTTTCTAGGAGATGTTATACACATTATTACTACTGCCCAACCATACTCAGAAGAGTGAGGATGTGTACTGATCTTTGCATCAATAACAATAGATGGCAAAATAAGGATACATAAGCTCTACTAATGAGGCGAGACTTTGGGTGACCCAAAAAAATGGTGAATTTCTAGAATGTCTTTGATCTTATATGAGTTCTTGCTGTAGCATATCAGTGGAAGCACCTTTCAGGAAGTACGTGCCATGTAGAGAAACTTTCTCAGCAGTCGGGTTGGCTACAAGCCTTTTGCCAAAATTCCAGAGAAAGCTGGCTCAAGCATTCCATAAGAAATGCTCTAATAGGCATGATGCTTGATGCAAACACTAAACCAGCCCACTCACCCTGCAAGTTCAATTTTTGGAACTACAGGACACAGTACGGACACTGCTGTACAGCTGTTGAGTGTGCAAGAGTTCACTTTCCATCAGCACAAAGAAAGGGCAGGTTAAGTTCTCTGTGGACAGCAGGTAGGGTTCTGACTCTACTAGCAAGCAAAACAACTAAGGCTGTACCCAGACTTGCAGGAATCTATGAAGCTACTGCTCATCCACCTGAACCTTAACTAAGTACTGAACACTTGTTCAAGTTTTCATTTACCATCTAAGCAGCTGGGAGATACACATATGTAGACAAAAAAAGGCAGAGAAATACATTGTCATTGTTATAAAATGTTACAGAAATTCTGCAGCTTCAGGAATGCCTACACTTGACAAGAGCAGAAACCAACTGAAGGAGGTAAAGAACAGCAGAGATCACTGCTCATTGAGCCATGGCTTAAAGACATTTTACCTTAGGCAAGAGACGATTGCAAAGGTTATTGTCAAGAAATACGTCACGGAGAAGAGTGGAATCACACTCTTGGTAATTCCTTCAAACTCCTGTTGTCTTGACAGCGAGGTAAAGTAAGTCACCTGCCAGTAAAACAACCAGAAACGTTGAAACACTTTTCGTCTTCTTGGGCTTTCTGCACAAGCACAAGCAAGGCCAAACACCAAGTTGGCAGAGGAGCATTGGCCTGGAGCTTGCAGCCCACTTGCCTATTCCCTCCACCCTCCCATTTCCCTTTCCCTTTCCATCCC